GCATCCCTGGTCGCCCTTTTCTGGGGACAACCTGGTCTTGCTGTATCGAAAGCAGAAGCGCATGAAGTGGCTGGAAGGCATTTCTCTGGACCACAATGTTTTGGAGGAGCTGCAGAAACTGCCCAATATTGACAAGTGCTTTGAAAATGTGCGCAAAATTGGCCTATACCCGGACTCACGAGAGGTTCTGGAATTTTGTCACTTTCTACTCAAGAACACGGCCAAACGCACACTTGACAAGATAACATTACACGCCAGCTTTGATGAGCTGGATTCGTCCATTACCACGCGCGAGTTGAACGACACGGTCAATGAGCCTGGTCTGATTACTTCAACCATGTTCAGCCACATGCAGCCTTTCGCAGAGTGTACGCCCATGGCCCTCAAAGAGATCACACTACAAAAGCTACATTTGCGGTACGCGGCAGGGACATACTGCAAACTGATCGATTTCCAAACGATCAAGAGCATCCGTGTGTTTGGCTGCTCAGGCGCCGACGCCCTGTTGGCCGAACTGAGCAAAAGCACGAAGCTTCCCGACAAACTCGAGACACTGGAACTCAAGCACGACGACAATACGGAAAACGATGGGCTAGGTGCTATTGACGGGTTTCTTTGCCTAGTGTCTGGAATCAAGACGTTGACACTGGACCTGACGTACGTCAAGGCGCTGCCGGCTGCTGCGGGCATTGTGCGCCATGGCAAGACGTTGAAGAGCCTGAATGTGCATGGTAGCACGGGCCCCGAGAGCTGTGACGAGGAGCTCGTGTACGACTATTCATCCTTCTCGCAGATATGCAAGGACTGCACTTTGCTAGAGCAGATTTCAGTAGCGTTTCCTGCCGTGAGCGTGGTTCGAAGCAAGAACGATAGCTTTGTCAACTTTGAAAACTGCCTGGGTGACCTTTGTCATCTGGCCACACTGAACATTACAACGTGGCCGACCAACAGTCCTTCGTCAAGCAAACTGCCGCGCAAGATCTATGAGCATCTCCTTGCCGGGCTGGCGCAACATGGGTTTGAGCGCAGTTCGGACCATGCCAAGGAGCAAGGGCGCTCATCCAAACTCGGACTTATTGCCTTTGGCTCGTCGGACAAGGTCTACGACCGCGAGGATAGTCAGAACCAAATCAGTGAGTAGCTGGCTGGGTCGAGAGATGTGGGATAGGTGCTAACAGCGTGCGTGTAGTATTTGTCAAGGGGCGGCAGATTGATCCGCTGGGCAAGGAAACATCGACGGCTGTGCAGATTGGGTGGTGTCTGCGCAAGTATGTTGATGCTGGGGACAAGTCGGACGTGCTTGATTTTTCCCTTACGCGAAGCACACGCCCGCCGACACGCAGCTCAGCGGACAGCGACGACAGCGATTGACAGACACGACGAGGCGAGGGGCTGGAGTGGAACCCGGCCGTCGTGAATGCGTGGTAGGGAGTGTTGGGCGGGCAACAGTGGAGGCAGGATGTGTAGTACTTGCTAGTGGTATGTATGGCCAAGCAGGGCATTGTATTGGCGATGACGTGTGTGGTGGTATCAGGACGCAATGGGACGAACATGTGTTCACAGTGTCGGAGGATTTTGTTGGCTTTGGATCGACATCGCTTGGGGATGGTGCAGTGCATGGGCATGGGCATGGACATAGTCCACGCCAGGCCTTTTCTTTGGTCGCCTCGGTTGTTTCCGTGTGTGGTCGGACCGCGACGTCAATCTCACCTGCGTGTGCAGTGGCAGGCCAGTCCAGTCCAGTCCAGTCTTGTTTCTGCTCTTCGTCTCCCGTCCGTGTCTGGCTGCGCAATGCGACGAGTCCCAGAGGGACACTGTAGTACAGCCTGCCCCAGCTCCTGCGCCTGCGCCAGCTCCGGCTCCTCGCTGCACCCCACGACGCCTCGTCTGTCTGTGTCCCGAAGCTGACGCGACGTCACCTCGCCTCCTTCCTGCGCGGCGGGAGATATTCGGAATCATGAAATCCCCAGATTCGCCCCAGTACCTCCCACCCCAGGACCCGCACTACACCTATTCCCCCGCCCACGCCCTCGATGCCACTCAGCCAGCACAGCCGGTCCAGCCGGTCCAGCAGCCACCACCACCACAGTCTGTCCGTCTGCCCTACCCCCACGATGCCGCCTTTCCCAAGCTCGAGAACATCAACGAGGTGCTCCAGGCCCAGCAAGCCCAGCAGGCCCTCCACGCAAATCATGTGCTGAATTCGCCTCAACTCCAGCCCCAATCCCAATCCCAACCCCAACAGTCCAAGCCAAACAGGCTACGCAAGGCCTGCGATTCCTGCAGCATCCGCAAGGTCAAGGTATGCCACGCTACGCGCCCACACGCCCCGTACATGTACCTGTACTGGGCCCACACATGTTGTTGCTGACTCGCGCCCTCTGCTCCAGTGCGATGAATCAGGCCCGCCCTGTAGGGCCTGTGTAGCTCTTGAAATTCCATGCACATTCGATCGCCCCAGCCGACGACGCGGGCCTCCCAATAGACACGCCGAAGCCATCAAGCGGCGGCGCGTTGCCGGCATAGACTCGGAAGGGTCAGCGCCCGAATCTCCCACCAGTGCCGCCCACGCCTTGGCCCAACTCCAGTCCTCCCAGCTCCAATCCTCCCAGCCAGCCCAGCTCTCTGCAGAGGAAATATGCGCCCTCCCCACCCTCAACGCCCTAATTGACGACTTCTTTACCTACATACATCCACTATGTCCCTTTCCCCATGAGCCCTCGTTTCGCGAAGCATGGGGTCGCAGAGAAGACTTGACAAATCCCTCCTTCCTCGCCCTGCTGGCCTCCATGATCGCTACCTTGGTCGCCTCTTTCCCCCGGAAACCGCGCCTGCACCTCAACTCACAGACGCGCCACGAATACCCAAATCATCTTGCCCTGGTTGACAAGTGCAGAGACGTTTGTGCCCGCGCGCGGGGCCCTGGCTACCTCGATCGTCCTTCTCTGAGTGTGTACGATGCTTGCACAAGTTATTTCCTTGGCTTGACTGGAGCCTATGTCTTCCAATGGCGGCAGCTGCGCCTGTACATGGCCGAATGCCTGACCATCATACGCGGCCTAGGCCTCCATAAACCCGAACTCCAGGGCTATACTTACCTCGGCGGTGTACCTAATGCCTGGGGCTCTAGTGGTCCCAACTACGATGGCTCGAGGGAGGCCAAAGTCGACTACATCACAGAAGAGATCGGCCGTCGCGTCTTCTGGACTGTCTTTGTTGGTGTGCGGTAGGTTGTGCCCTATCTCTAATCTCAATAATTGCTAATTTCAGTTAGGACCATACAGCAATTGGGTGCGTCTTTTGGAGAGCTTGTGATTGCGCCTGCAACGCCCAGCGAGCCTCTACCTCCTCTACCACGAGAAGTAGATGATGTGCACATCTTCCCTCACGAAATCCAGCCACAGCAAGACGGTGTCGTCTCAATGCTCACTGGTTTCAACATTAATGTGCGCATTTATCTTTCATACTCTTCGCTCGCTACAGCCGAGATGGCTTTCGGTATTGATGAGATATTCGATTGGGACCGACAGCAGCGCGTTTTGCAGCAAAGCTTGCAGCGTTGCAGGCAGATTTTGCAAAGCATACCAGAGGCACTGAAGGTTCGTCCCAAGACTGGGAAAGATAGCGAGGTTGAGCCACAGAAACCGTACCAACCGCCCGCAGCCGAGTACGCAGGCATGCGAGATCCTGCAATAGATGATTACCACAAGTCAGATGCTCCTGATGCACGACGCTACGAGATACAGAAAGCAAACATATACGCTAGCCATTTGGCCACCCGCTCCCACTTGGTTGAGAAGTATTTTCTACAACTAGAAAAGTATCGAAGAACAAAAGCCCAAGCGAGTCTGCAGGCCTCTACCAATGCGATTGCCGCAGGAATCGACAAGTTTGTATCTGACACAACTGACCCTGAAGCTCTCGAAAAGACAATGTCCGAAGAGCGCGAACAGGTAGTCAAAGACCTCTTAGTGGTACTAAGCAACATCGACATGGTTAACATGGAGCCCAATGGTGACTCTTTTGTAAGTCTACACATTCATTTGCAAGACTTAGGTTTCCTCTATCAAGCCAGACACCTGGTGATATCCTCCGTTATGTTTTTTTTGCATCAAACACCATTCGTCCATTCGTAAGCTTACAGGTCGTTCAACATAGATACAAAAAATCCGGTCCATTGCCAGCACGCTGCTTGACGTACCTAAAGAAAGAAAAGGTAGTGTAGCGCAACAGCATCAAGATTACCTGTACAAATTCCTGGATATACTAAGTAAGCTGGAGAGGGTAAGCCCAGAAGTTAGTGATCTCAATGGCAGCAGCTTTGACGAAGAAAGTGAGCTGCGCTTGTGGGCAGATTTGAGGGACCATCAATTGAGATTCCAAGAGCATGGGGGTATTTATGGCTTTTGATCAAGCGGCAGCTCGGATGGAATCTGAGCTGAGCAAAGACCAACCTTGTTCAAGATATCCATCACACGAAAGCCTACCACTCCTGATCTTCCACCAGCCACATTTCAGGCAAACGTCCGCAACCAGCCTTTAAACGAGGGCCTCGTTCACTAACGACGTTTGCCTTTTCCCACTCATCTTGAGCAGGTCATCACTATAGACTAGCTTTGAATGCAATCATGATGTTAGATGTTTATATAGTATACTGGATAATATGGATTTTCTCTCAACGTAGAGCCACTTTTCGCATGTACGTTGGTTCATATTGTAACTCCCTTCTCTTAGTTCTGGTCATGTTGAGTGATGTTTAGAGAAGACATGTTCCCACCTCTGCAAGTTCCAAGTATCTATACAATGCCCTTTCCAGCAGTGACCCAGTGTCCAAAGGTGCATGTGCCATGTCCAAGCCCCATCATCCGATCCTTGTCTTGTACAATAGACAAGAATTTGATCTGGATGCTCTCGCTGCGTCTCATATTCTGTACTTCTAAGCCCCCCCCGAAATGACTCGGGCAGAGCAGCAACGAAAATCCGAAACTCTGTCCATCAGCCTATGGCACGACGACTACACCCAAGCTTCCAGCCTGTCCTACGATGCTCCTCGCAATTCCCTCGAGACTCAACCCGCTTAATCGCGTCTCACTATGCTTGATCTTGGCAATCTCATACACGTGCTTTAGGCTGACAGTACCCACCGTACCCTTGACTGCATTTCCCACCGTTGGACTACTCGTTGACGTTTTTCCCTTTTGTCCTTCGTGGTTGTTCATTGGTCCAGGAACGTTTCCTGCACCCCGTATCTTGTTCTTGGTTGGTAGTACACCCGCCGCACTTAGGAGGAGGGTCGCAGTGGGTGGTGTGCGAAGCTGGAAGTGGAATGAGCGATCGGGGCGGACTGTGATGCGCGCAGGTATCGGCGTGCCCGCTGTATAGTGTGCTGTTCTTGCATTGAACTCCTGACATTAGATTGTCAACTGGATGGTCTTGCGACAATGGGTCGAGGTAGAGATCTTTGTGTGACATACTTTGCAAAAATCCATGCTCTTTACACCTTTGCTTCCCAGCGCCGGTCCTACAGGCGGTGAGGGAGACGCTTGACCTGCGCCTACAATCAATTTGACAATTTGATCTTTCGCTATTGCTTTTCGCGCCATGATGTTGAAGATGTGCAATGTGGTGGCGGTAGTGGGTGCGTTTGGGGAATTTGCGGAGAGGCTCGGAGGTGCCGGTCACAGGGTTTTCTGCACCAGGTTCAATTCATTTTTTTTGCGGAATCAACCCATTTTCACACTTTTCTTGGAATTCCTTCATTTCACTGGATGATTGCAATGTTTACAATGGATAAATTGACTTTGTGTAGGATGATGTAGGTGCCTATTGTTGCACGTGACAGCGCGAATACGCTAATTAGGGACGCGATGCTGATCCGCCACCTTGGAGCACCGAGCAACACTTCTGCACTATTCTTTCAACTTTCACCACATTGTCCAAAACGCCTCATAAAATCCTGCCGAGTTCTTCGGTGTAGTGATTCATCATGCATCGGCCGAAATCACTCGCAACTGGCGAGGCTACGCCGTTGAAGCCTGCAGCGCGTCTCTATGGTGGCACTCCACAGTCGACCGAGCGTCTAATCAAGCCATTTCGATGTCCAGGTTCAGCTACAGTGTCGCGAGTATCAGAAAAGCCAGCGAGGAAGAGGAGGAAAGTCGATTACTCTGGCGCTGGTGGTGAGGATGGGGAAAGTGATAAACCATACTCCAACGAGGATCGATTAGCCCTCGCCACACGAGACGCGAACCGATTCCCAGTGTTCAAACCCAAAGACAAAGAGACTGCATTCAGGGCAAAATTTATTGTGCCTCTAGTCAATAAGGACACCGGAGCATACAACCCAAACCGACCAGCGCCTCTACTGGGAATGCGAACTGGAACTGTCTTCGTTGCACGACCACTGCATGATCCCAGTGGAGAATTTGCAATCGTATTATACGACCCAACTGTTGACGATAAGCCTGAGCCGAAACAAGAGCCTGAGCCCAAGGAAAGCCAAACTGAGAAGAAGGAGCTAGATGCTCCACTGGTTCATAAGAGTTTGGCTGAGATACTGGGTTTGAAGAAGAAGGTAGACAACGAGCGGCCGCGTGTACCAGTGGTGATAGATCCAAGGCTTGCCAAGGTTCTGCGACCCCATCAGGTCGAAGGAGTGAAGTTTTTGTACCGAGCCACAACTGGTATGATTGATTCAAAGGCGAACGGCTGTATCATGGCCGATGAGATGGGTCTCGGCAAGACATTGCAGTGTATCACGCTGATGTGGACGCTGTTGAAACAGTCGCCTGAAGCTGGTAAATCCACGATACAGAAATGTGTTATTGCATGTCCCTCAAGTTTAGTGAGAAACTGGGCAAACGAGCTGGTGAAATGGCTGGGGAAAGACGCTGTTACCCCTTTCGCGATCGACGGAAAAGCGTCGAAAGAAGAACTGATTCAACAAATACGGCAATGGTCAATAGCATCTGGACGCGCAGTTGTTCGGCCAGTGTTGATTGTGTCTTATGAAACACTGCGACTTTACGTTGACGAATTTGGACAAACGCCAATTGGATTGATGCTTTGCGATGAAGGTCATCGATTGAAGAATGGAGACAGCTTAACTTTCACGGCCTTGAACAGCTTGAACGTACAGAGACGTGTTATTCTCTCCGGTACGCCCATCCAGAACGATCTTTCGGAGTATTTTGCACTGCTCAATTTTGCGAATCCTGGTTACCTTGGTACACGTATGGAGTTCCGCAAGCAATTTGAAATACCCATTCTGAAGGGTCGCGATGCCAACGGAACAGACGCCGACGTGCAGAAGGGTAACGAGCGGCTCACAGAGCTATTGGGTCTGGTCAACAAGTTCATCATCAGACGAACTAACGACATTCTCTCCAAATACCTACCAGTCAAATATGAGCACGTCGTGTTCTGCAATCTTGCACCATTTCAAAAGGACCTATACAACCATTTCATTAAATCACCGGATGTTCAAAGCCTGTTACGCGGCAAAGGTTCGCAGCCCCTTAAGGTCATTGGCATGCTCAAGAAGCTGTGCAACCACCCTGACCTACTCAATCTACCAGAAGACTTGCCAGGGTGTGAAGATAAGCTACCTGAAGATTTTGTGCAAAAGGACGCACGAGGTCGAGACCGGGAGGTTAAGGTATGGTACTCTGGAAAGATGGCTGTCCTTGACCGTATGCTTGCGCGCATCCGCGCTGAGACAAACGACAAGATCGTTTTGATTTCCAACTACACTCAGACACTCGACATTTTTGCCATGCTTTGCCGATCACGTGGATATGGCTGTTTCCGCCTAGACGGTACAATGAATGTTAGCAAACGACAAAAACTGGTTGACAAGTTCAATGACCCGGAAAGCCCTGAGTTTGTCTTCCTTCTCTCCTCCAAGGCCGGTGGATGTGGTCTCAATCTCATTGGCGCTAACCGACTTGTCCTTTTCGATCCCGATTGGAACCCAGCTGCTGACCAGCAAGCCCTTGCTCGTGTGTGGCGTGATGGCCAGAAAAAGGACTGCTTCGTGTACCGCTTCATCACCACCGGTACCATTGAAGAGAAGGTCTTCCAGCGACAATCTCACAAGCAGTCGCTCTCGTCCTGTGTTGTTGATTCTGCAGAGGATGTAGAGCGGCATTTTAGTCTTGACTCACTTCGTGAGCTTTTCCAATACCGCGATAATACGACTAGTGATACCCACGACACCTTCAAATGCAAGCGATGCCGAAAAGAGGACGGCAAGCAAATTATGAAGGCTCCGGCCATGTTGTATGGTGATACGAGTACTTGGAATCATTTTGTTAACGATGGGGAGACGGGCGCACTTGGCAAAATTCAGGATTTGTTGCTTAGACAGGAGACGGCGAATGACTTGAAGGACGTCAGTGCTGTATTCCAGTATATAAGTCATTGAGCCCAGGGTTGGGGCTTTACTTGGACTAGTAGGATGTTACACGGGGTTGGGATCTATACTTCTCTTGCCGGGTCCCACACTAAGGCCGGTGAGCTTTACGCTAGTGTTCCGTGAAAGTTGTCTGGCGATGCAGTGGAGTGGAGTGCTTGATAAGAAGGTAACAATAGGTTT